GGATTGGTATGCCACATGGTGACTGATTAAATGGTGAAAGATGCAGAGCACAGCAAATTCTCGGATTGCAATAGCTTTCTCTTGTGCTGAATGCTACAAAAATCCAGGAATTGGCAATCACTGAGTAAATACAGTAGCATCTGAGCTTAAATCCAGTGCTTAGGGATTCATTGAAATGCCTGTTAAATTGAGAGCCTGATTATAGCGTATGCCACATGGTGACTGATTAAATGGTGAAAGATGCAGAGCACAGCAAATTCTCGGATTGCAATAGCTTTCTCTTGTGCTGAATGCTACAAAAATCCAGGAATTGGCAATCACTGAGTAAATACAGTAGCATCTGAGCTTAAATCCAGTGCTTAGGGATTCATTGAAATGCCTGTTAAATTGAGAGCCTGATTATAGCTGTAACAATTTGATATGTTTTTCTTATAAGCTGAGTGTTTCATTTTGTCAAGACGCAAGGTAAATAGCAACAATTATTGCAAGAGAAATGGAGTATCGACCTTAAGTCGATTAAGGAGTGCCACTCCTTCCCTTCATAGGAAGAGGGTGAACCTTGAACTTGGATTTTGGCAAATAAGTGATGTTGGAGATTATTTACATCTATAATGTGCTCCTGTTTCTTGTCAGTGGGTTTTAATGTTAAGCAAGCTTTACATATTCTCTTGAAGGGGTACCACTAAATCACTTCTGCCCATAACTGTCATGCCTGGTATTGTTTCAGGAGGCACATAAGATAACTGTAATTGCAAAATGAAAAATGTCTCTTCCGTTTCCTTTTAGCATTTGTCTGCAATTTGCATGTGGTTTCCATATTTAACATTATAAACGCTGGAGGCAATGTGGGGTTTGGAGACAGCTTGGGAACCTCATGTACCATCACAACCCAGTTTGAGAGCCCCATTTACGACTTGCCATTGTTTGTGTGACTCTTGCATTGCAACAAGGAAAGAAAAATCTGAAAATGGGCTTTGTAAAGCTAATCATGTTGACAAGGGGTGAGGGCTTAGTGTACTGTTTTTGAAATAGTATGGGTGCTAGTATTGTTTTTAAAAGGCATTTCAGCCAGTCTGTAAGCCTCCAGTAGCTTCTGTAATGTGGAACTCTTGGGGCTTTTCCATACTCTGCTCCAAGAGAGGCTAAGAAGCACAGTCTCATGTCCCTGACAGAGCTGTCTAGTTAAATTGGTCCTAGAAGACACAGAGGAAAAACTAAATTTAAAGCATCTTCCGCAGCCTTGGATAGTGGTATATAAAATAGTGTTGGCACTTTAAACATGATATGCAAAAAGACTATAATGGCAAATACAGCCTCATGATACTCTAACAAGCCTTATAATGCTTTGTCAAAATAAACTGCCTGGCTCTATTGAAATTTACAGCACTAATTTTCAGTGCTCGTACAAGTAAGTTTTTGGGTGGGGTTTTTTTTTTTCATTGGTGGAAAATAGCCTGAAATAGAAACCTGTTTGCTCTGTGAAACACTCCAGTGATATCTGTCATCTTTGCAGGCTGGAATAAGTTAAATCCAGTGAAAACACTAGCTGCAGTTGTCACCAACTCTAAGGGCTTTGCAGCTGGATTTTTCACTCTACCTCTTTGTGATCGCAGCAGTGTGGCCAAGGTTATGTAGTCTTGAAATCTGCTTTGCGCTTAAATATTAGAGTGGCTGATGTGAGGCTTTAGTCTGAGAGGGCTTCTGGGACTGTCCTTGGCTGGCTGGAACAGCTTTCAACAGTTACTGTGTGCACAAGGCACTAATGATGCTGTGCTGACTCTCTCGTCTTTCTGCTGCAGCTGTCAAGATCAAGAAGAACAAAGACAATGTGAAATTCAAGGTGCGCTGTAGCCGGTATCTCTACACTTTAGTCATCACAGACAAGGAGAAGGCTGAGAAACTGAAGCAGTCCCTGCCACCAGGTAACTGTCGTGTTGTCCAGAGTTACTGGTGATCTTTCATTGGGATAGGAAGGGGGGGGGGCTGTGGGAGCCCCTCTCCTTTCTGAGCTCCTCTCACTGTTAGGCTGACTAGGGGGATATGGGAAATGGCTCTTTCTGGACATGTAAGAGCTGTCCAAGAATTTCTGCATGTAGATGTAGGGAGGTGTTGCATTACGGACCCTTGCTCTGCTCACAGTTCATTTCCTTAGCTTCATCAGATCAGAAAACTTGCAGGTATTCACAATGTTCTGAAGTACATAAAATAGGGGAGCAGCAGACAGTACTGATTTGCTCGACTTACCGTACCATCTGTACCCCCATACATCATTTGAGAGCATACTCGGTCTCTAGGATGAGGTAGCATGTGGAGTTGTCAAGCACTACCCTTACCATGGGCACCATCAATTTGTTGCAATGACCACAATGAAATATTTGCATTCATTTCTGTTAGTTTAATAACTGTTATTTCAGGGCATAAAATTGAGTTTCTTTATGACCTCAAAGCACCACCACAACAACCAAAAGGGCAAAGTAAATTTGGTACGGGTAATATTGAAATGTAATAGCACTGGTGACATTTCTAGTCAACATCATTATCTTATTCATCATGATATCTGTCAGGAGTGTGGGTTGCTGCAGTGTGCAGGGGGAAATTGTCCTGACTGCAGCACAGTTGATTGTCTGGCAGCTCTTACTGGGCTAGACACAAAAAGGGTCGTGTTGAAGCTCAGATGTCATCAGGTCCTTGAATACAGGAAATTGTTCATCCACTTCTTTCCATCCATGCTGCAGTGGTTTTCTAGTATCTCTGCAGAGGCGTTAACTACTTACATGGGGACACTTCATGGCTAGGTCATCTCTTCCTTCCATTTTGGCAAGGTCTCTGAAGCAGTAAAGCTCTATCTGCTTTGACAACATTAAATAGATGCTCCCCCCCAGTTCCAAATATGGATGACTCAGGGTCCCATCCTGTTAATGTGTATGGCAGAAGTCACGCATGAGCGTCGTCAATAGCATGCACAAGTATGAGGTGATGCTACAGGTTGGCCCTCCCTGGTCTAGCACCCTCTGGCCCTGACTGGTCCCAAATGAGGGAATTTGCCAGGCCTGGGGCGGGTGCAGGGTTCACTGCCACTGGTGCCCTCTGCCTCTGGATTGCTGGGCACCGATCCCCAATACAACGAGCCCTGGCTGCCGGCAGGGCTCTCGGGTCCATGCACATCCGTGGTCCTGCTAGACCACATGTTGCCAGACCACCAAGTCCCAGTTTAGGGAGGTACAACCTGGAGTCTGTGCTGGCAACCGTGACTGTGTTGATCCATGCATTGTCTGTTCCTTTTTGTTCACAACTTTCCAAAAATAGACCAAAATATCGGAATCGGGGACCTAATGACTTCGGTTCCTTTGACATGGAGACAGGCCTGTCACATTGGCACGTACACCACGCAAAAGCGCCTGTGTCTGCTTCCTTGTGGGTACAGCGCCCCTTTGCACCTCTGCCTCTGATGGCCTCTGCTGCAGTCGCAAGTGCAGGTGCACATGTAAAACTCCTCTGTGAATGCAAGTGACTGTTTGGTTGCCTGCCACACTTCTTGTTGCCCCATCTTTGGATTAAAAATGACGGAATTGTACAGACAACAGGGCGTTCTCAAGTAATCACTTTGAGGGTTGACAGGTTCTTGCTGGGTTTTATTTAAATGATTATATAGTTGGAGACTCCACTGTGTGCAGTTGTAACACTTGCACTATAGGAACTACATTAAGCGTAGTCACAAACCCCCCCACTCGAAGGCAGACTGCGATACTACAGAATATACAGCTGCACATCCATATACTTTGACCATCCCTTGTAGAACAATCTGAAGTGTTAGCTGCCATCTTCCTCATCACCGCCTCGTTGTTACCATCACTCTGCGCCTCCCAAGGACTACATCTTTCTCTCCCTCTCCCTCTCCCAAGGGGGCGATGCCACTTTCCTGTGTGGTACACTGGAAAAGTGTTTTGCCTTATTCATATTTCCTCACCTTACTGGTGTTGGAGGGCCCTTTTTCCTGGAGTTCAGTGTATCGGTGATCTCACCTTATGGTGCGCAGCCATTTGTTACCAGGGCTCTTGTGACTCCGTCGCATTGATTATTTCTGTCCTAGCCTGTTGTCTCAGTTCTTTCCGGGTTTCTAGTTGTGGTGCATCTGTGAAGTTTAAAGGATATCATGGAACACTAGAACTGGAAGGGACCTCAAGGTCCTCATGGCAGGACCCGGTACCATCTAGATTTTTGGTCCCCAACCTTCCCAACCTTTTCCAGATGGGGACCCATTTTGACAATTTAGGAAGACTTGGTGACCCAAGGCAATTCAAAAACGGGGGGAGGAGGGAGGGCAGAGCCACCTGGGGAGGCACTTGGTGACCCTTTTGAAATGTAATGGCGACCCATATTTGGGTCCCGACCTGTAGGTTGGGAAACCCTGATCTAGATCATCCCTGGTAGATGTCTGTCTAACCCAGTGGTTCCCGAACTTTTTGGCATCATGCCCCCACCCCCGAATAGAAGCAAAACTTGTTGAGCAAAAAAAGGAACTGAACAGGGCAGCAGAACTTGATTGGGGGAGGAGGCTGGGTCGTCTTGCGACCCATATTTGGGTCCCGACCTGTAGGTTGGGAAACCCTGATCTAGATCATCCCTGGTAGATGTCTGTCTAACCCAGTGGTTCCCGAACTTTTTGGCATCATGCCCCCACCCCCGAATAGAAGCAAAACTTGTTGAGCAAAAAAAGGAACTGAACAGGGCAGCAGAACTTGATTGGGGGAGGAGGCTGGGTCGTCTTGCGCTCC